GAGTAGTTGGAGCAATCATGACTTGTTTCGGCACAGATAAGCAAAGTAGCTGTTTCGTAGAACTGAGCAAATGGCAACAAATCCATTGTCCGTGGAAGTGTATTTCTACTTATTTCAACAAGCTTCATTTCAGCCCATGTGAAACCTCTCTGTAGCTTGCATTTAAAAATCTGGGCAGGGAAGGGCATAGCTGCAGTAGGGCAGTCCCTGCGCGTCCCTCTACTTCACATCCATGCTCTCAGGCTTGTTTTGTCAAGGGGGTGCCCTCCTGCTCAGTCTGTTGTTGCCTTCCCTTGCCAAACTTATTTTCCTAAGTCCAAGTGAGTGTGGGCTAACAAAAGATGTCCAGGAGCATGTATCCTCCATTCATGGGTGGTGCATCTGAAATAGTAGAATAAACATAGCAAGGAAGACATCCCAGAAGGACCACATCCAAAGCTTAAGCACCCTGCTTAAACCCTGATCAAGTAATTTGTAACCATCGCCCTCTGTACTGAAGATCAGCAGTTGGCATGGTGCTCAAAGAGTTGCCAAACTGAATTCAACAATATCATTCTTCCTTTCCCTAATCGCCTTCCTTTTGCTCATGGCAGTAAAACGTAGATCCCCTCTGTGTACTCCAGTTACCAAGGAAATTTACTGCAGTTAGCTTATCGTGTTTCCGCTAATTGTCTAACTGCAAATTCCTAGCAGTACTAGAGCAGGACAAAGTTCAAAGAGAATCTATCTGTTAATTTAGCTCTGTAAGCTTTATTTTGAGCAGTACTACAATAATGTGTGGCTCCGTCATTCAAACTTGAGGCAAATTTGAGGTGGTTTTGCACTGCAGCAGGTTGTATGTAGGCAGTCATCTTTCTGTTTGGTAACACCCTTGGGTGTGTGCTATGGAACTCTGTTTTGTGATTTAAATCAAAAGTTAATTTGACCAACAAATGCTAGTAAATGCCCTGAATAACCATTTTGTGGTCAGCTTTTAAAAAATAAATGTTTAACATAGATCACAGTATCTGCCTTATTCCCAGAGATAAGAGTACATACTTTTGAGATTGCTCAGACTGTTAGCAGTGTTCAGACTACCGCATTGTCATCTTTGTCACTCGTTTGTCCCTATTGCTTCAGGGTTTCTCCCCCCCAATGTGTTTTGCTCTCTCTAGTAGTCCCAGAGGGAGCAAAACACATGTGGAAAAGGGGGGGGGGACCCAAAGCAACAGGGACAAACAAGTGACAAAAATGACAATCCGGAAGAGCTATGTGACATTTTAGGGCAGAAAATTGTCACTACTGAAGATTTCTTGGTTTCAGACTGTAAATATAGTGATTTCCTGTATATTGGAACAAATGACAACAAATGTGAACTCCATGATCTGGTAGAACTAGCATTTGACCTGGGGGAAAAGGTCAATTAACTCATTGGATACTCAAGTATGAATTTCTTAAAATTGTGCTAGCTGTAAGAACTCCTGGAGACCCCTGTTCCTTCCAGATGCTCACAGAGAACCATGCCAAGTCCTGCAGAGACCTCACTATAATAAGTGCAATCAATTCTGTGCCAGTCACAAGATCCTGGATGCTTGTGATGTGTGCTGCTGAGATGGAGGCCTGCTGATGAGCAATTTAACTTTCTGTGAAGTACGCCCTTCACAGAACTTTCTTCAAAAGGATGTTTGCTTGGTGCTGTATGTTAGGCCCCAAACAATGTCAGAGAACTACTCAGAGTTTGGATAGTTAACTGTTGCTGCTACTTAGTAGACAACTGGTTCTGTGATTAGAATGTTGTGTTTGGCTGCTGAATTTTGTGTGTATTCATTTTTAACCCCCTTGAGTGTATCATATTCTGTCTGGTGTGACAGAAATGCTCCATCTTGTTGTGTGCTCCTGCCTGAACAGATTGTTCAGCATGTAGGCTGTGGCTTCCTTTATTGTCCATGTGGCTAGCTTGGGAGAAGCACTCTAGAGCTTCACCTAAGCCTGTCTACATGAACAAGATGTATGCTGTTACTTAAGAGTATTGGTTGTATGTGCAGTACTTAGAAAATATGTGTGCTGCCACCTGGGATGGTTCACAGCTGTGATAGCTTGGCAATATTGTGGGCAAATAGTCAATATCCAACGATAGGTGACTTAGCAGCGCTAACCTTATGTTTCTAGTCATGTAGCACACTTAACTGCATCTTATTATGACATTGGCTAGTTTTGACTTGGAATGCATGCCGATTTCTTTTTGTTCCAGATAAACTACTTTGATGCCTTTCCAAGGTGGGATATAATTGTGTGTAAAATCTTCCCCCTGTGGCTTATGCTCTTATGCAAAACACCCCTCTTTCATGTGGCTTGGCTGTTACTAATCACCCTGTTTGAAGCCACTAATGAAGTTGTCATTTTACTTCTATTTATGTAATTATGACATTAATCTGGGATAGGCTTAATCTTTCAGCACCCTATCTCCAGTTTGGGGTCTGCCTTGATGTGGTGGTATTGTACATATAAAAATGAGAATTCAGTAAGCAAATGCAGAGGGAAAATGTTGGATTTTATTACTAAGTTCTTTATTGGGGCTTGTATAGTAAAGGCAGTCTTCAAGATAGCATGGCTTGTGTAGTGAATGCAGTCTTCAAGATAGCATGGCTGTTTGAGACAAGGAGCATTTGGGTTTTGAAAAATAAATACTTCTTTTGAATTGTCACACTGCAATTTTTTAAACTACAGCTCTAGTCAAGGTTTTGCACATGCTCTGGGTAAAATAACCTCCCATTTCTTTCCTACCCAGTAGGAGTAGATTGTGACTGGCAGCTTCTCAAAGCCCTAGCAGTATTTTGCAGTAAGTGCTATACTGGACTCTGGTGCAGCTTTCCACTTTTGGCATAGTGGGGCATGTGGAAAGGAATACAAGAGCATCCATTGACCGAAATTCAATTTAAATCAACACCCGTGAATGTTTTCTATATCTACAAGTATACGTGGGAATTACCATTACAACAATTTATTGCTATATTGTTATGTAAAACAAGTGTTTTGTAACTTTTCATGCTTTGAGTGAGCAAAACCTTGTTTTATTTGCACCTTCCAAAGACAAATGTCCTAATTTTCAGTTCTCCCTAACAATTAAGGCCAAACTTGAGGGGAACAAACACTGTCGTAAAATTTTCTGGGTTTTCTTCATACCTCCATATCCTTCGATGAAATACTCCCCCCCCCCCGGGCCAGTAATCTCTCAAAGGGGAAGCAGCAGCATATAATCTTTGAATCTGGAGTTGACTGTAAGGTGTAGGTGGTTGGACCCTGGTAGCATTCTGATTCTGACAGTCAAACCTTAATGCTTGCTGACTCTATTCTTCATTTTGTGAGTAGAAATGACTAAAATCCACATATCATTTCTCAGTTCAGTACACAGCTAACAGCTACAATATTTTGAGCTATTCAGAGTTTTCAGTTCTTAATCTCGATCTTAGCCTGTGCCTCTCCTGTGTTGAGATTTCCCTTAAAACCATTCCTTGAGGCCATATACCTCTATTACCACACACTGTTGGCTTATTGCTTAAGCTGTTTAAGATAGCAATTAATTACATTGGATAGTAATTCCTCTGCTCCTAATCTCCTATGCAATAGCCCCCTGTTTGGAGCCAGAAATAATGCAGTAAAGCTGAATAGTGGTAAGCAATGTATGGGTAGAATCTTGCTGGCTGAGTGGCTAGTGCACTGTCTTGGATGGTCCAGGAGTGGTAAACAGTGCCTGGCAAGTCGGAGTACTAGGTGGGGTTCTAAGCGGTTCTCACGTTGCTTAAGAAAAGTTGGTTATAAAGTCACTCTTTAAACTTCGTTGGAGTGATTTGGGTTTTGTGATGGATTAAGAGTGCTTGCACAAACTTTTATAAGGCATTTGAATGAAGCTTTTACATGATTGCTGTGTAAATTCTGTTGTTGTCTTCTAGGTATCTTTAGCTTACTAGCTCAGTAGGTATTATAACAGTGCATTCAATTGATTTGTTCTTGTGAGTGAACTTGGATGGAAGCTAATTCAGCTTATCAACATATCATTTTAGTGAAAATGGTGAGACTCACCTATCTGTCCATAACGCTGAAGTGTCTAGAGCTATCTTTGATCCTAGTGCACAGAGGAATTTCTAGCTTACCAGCAGTGGAATATTTAACACTTCAGTGATAAAAGGATAAAATACTTGGCATAAGAAGGGTAGACTTATCATATATATGTGAATACACGGCATAAAATAGGGCCCAGATTTTTTTAAATGCAGGGGAAACTACAGCCATCAGTAAAAGCAGATTTTTGTTGTCCAGTAGAAGCTTCTACCTCATAAAATTTGTGTGCCAGCCATTTTGAAAGCTTAAGAACATGGGAGATTTCAAATTTCTTGGTTTGTTTCAGCTTGTTACTTGTGGCAGTAAACTTCATTAACTGAGCAGGAAACAGTCAAACATAGAAAGGTGGGTGAAGTACTACACAGCTTAAACAGTCATCCCCAGAAATGAGTGAGTGTAGAGTTGTCATCCTTTTTGGATGCCTGCTAAAAGATGGGCATAGCTAGCCACCAATTACCACTACTGCAGCTGCCTGGTGAAACTACACAAACATATTGTGTGCACTAAATCTAGCAAAAGGCTGTGGGTTCATGAGCTGGGAACATACATGTAACTCATTTTCATCAAGATGATGGCTAGCTCACCTGTTCAATACAGTTCAACGCAATTTACTGCTAAAGTAGGAGGGGCTGTGGCTTAGTGGTAGAGCATCTGCTTTGTATGCAGAAAGTCTCATATTCAACCCCTAGCATTCCTGGTTAAAGGATGATTTAGTGGGAGATACAAAAGAGCTCTGCCTGAGACCCTGGAGAGTCAACTGCCAGCCTGAATAGACGGTATTGACCAAGATGGACTAAGGTTCTGATTCAGTGTAACACAGCCTCATGTGTATAAAGTATATGTTCAGCTTGCTAAATGTGTTACTTTACACTGTTAACCTCCTGATTGTGTTTCTTTTTCAGATAGTAAAGCTATTGTTGATGGTAACTTGAAACTAATCCTAGGGCTAGTATGGACTCTTATCCTCCATTATTCAATCTCTATGCCTGTGTGGGAAGATGAAGGAGATGATGATGCCAAGAAACAGACTCCAAAGCAGAGATTACTAGGCTGGATTCAGAACAAAATCCCCTACTTGCCGATAACTAACTTCAACCAAAACTGGCAGGATGGCAAAGCACTGGGTGCCCTTGTTGATAGCTGTGCTCCAGGTGAGTCTTCTACTATGTCCATATTTCCATTCTTTCCTAAAGGCACTAAGTCTGGCCATTTGGTGGCTTTGCATTGAAAGCTAGTGGCATGGAAGCGGCCCCTAAGATCACAAGCAGGCTGAAGAGATTTTAGTGAAATAGTCATATTGAGAGAATCCATTTTTAAACACTGCTATAGGTTATAATACATACGTCATACGTTTAGGTTATAATACGTCACCATGGCTCCTAAGGGCTAATGTTGTTGATAGATTACTAAATATCTATATTACTACACATTAATTATTGAGCAGTTGATTTTCAACTTCAGGAAGCATTGCTTAGGTATTTGAAATACTAGAGAAATACTACAGAGAAATGCAACATCGTATAGAAGAGCTGTTGCATCACGCTGGCTACCAGTGCTGTTGCACTCAAGTGAATAGAGATTATTGATGTAAACTTTTCGTCTTCCTGTAATTGGTGGAGTTCTGTAATTTAAGAGTCTACTACTAAGCCCTCTAATAAATCTACGTTTAAAAATCAGCATTGTAAAACAACTTTAGGTTGGCGTTTGACATCTTCAGACTTTCATACTGTTTGGTCCTTCCCATTTTTAAAGTGTAGGCTTAGTTAGGAAAATAATTTCCTGCTAGGCTTCTTTGGTCCTAAAATATCTTTTCCTGAGATATATTGGAGCAAATAGGCCTTTTATTAGAAGAAAGGTCTCTTGGGTGGCAGAACTGAATGCTGGAGCCCAGCAGCTGATGTAGTCTAGTGATTAGAGGTTTTGATCAGAGAAATCTCTAGATGGTGCGGAGTCTGCATTGGCCTTAGTTCTTTCATCTGTGAAATGTCCTACTTGTACTCAGCACAGTTCAGCAGCCTTTAGAACTTCTATTGTTCAGGAAGAAATAAATTCTGAACTAGGAAGTATTCAACTGAAAATTTGCTATGGCTGTTGATCTTTAACTTCAGTGTAGGGGAGGTGTACTTCTGTATTTCTTTCTTCTGAATGGGTATGGGCAGAATGCCCAGTTAGTGCTCACCTTGACCAAAAGTGAAACGCAGTAAGTCTTAAGTCTAAGAATTCTTCCCTTAGGTCTCTGCCCTGACTGGGAAGCCTGGGACCCAAAGAAACCTGTTGATAACGCTCGTGAAGCCATGCAGCAAGCAGATGACTGGCTAGGTGTGCCTCAGGTAAGCAAAAGTGGACTTCATGTCTGAACAAAAATGGACTTCTGCATTATATTTTGTCCTGAGCTTTGCTGGCAGTTTGAAGCTCAAAGCATCCGCTCTGTGTTGCATGCAGAATTGCAAAATGAAAGCTGCATGTTGATTCTAGAGCAACCCAGTTAAGTTCTTTGCCCCTTTCAGTCTCTCTTTTTGAAAGAGAAACTAAATGATCTGCTGAAGTATGACAATCATGGAACATGATCCTTGCTAGGCTAATTGGGCAGGGAAACAGTTTGCCGAGGCTACTGTGGCAAGTTGATAGAACCTAGTGGGTGGGGTCGCACTAGCACTTTACCACAGGATGTATTCGCTGGGATTTTAAGGAATTGTATTTTATATTTTGTAATTGTTGGTTTTAACTGAATGTTGGTTTTAAATTGCTTGTAAGCCGCCCTGAGCCACTTCGGCAGGAGGGCGGGGTAGAAATCTGATTAATAAAATAAATAATAAAATAAAAATATAGTATATTGCTAGTTGTGGGCCACTTGGGTTCAGCTATACTTCCTAGCAACAAGTAAGAACAGCACAGCTAGTTCTACTTAAGAGTTTTTGAAGTGTGAATTCTTGGCACCAGTGGTGTGCAGGTGCTATACTGATGATCTTTCTTTGGTTAGGGGGCTTAGGCCAGAGCATGTCTTTTAATCATCATTAGTACTGCTGAAAGCCATCTCTCAAGGATGTAGCATTCTTTATGTTTAGAAAATGTGCATCGTGGCTTCTATTACAAATGTGATATTAGAGTTCATTGTACAGAATAATGAGTTGTATCCTACCATCTGTTTCTGCTGACTTTCCCCCCATTGCTGTGATGTTGTTTGTGAAGGGGGGATGCTGACCCTTCAGAACAAATTTCAGGGGGCTCAGTGAGCTGCTGCAGCAGGGGGAGGTGGGGAAGTTCTGCTTCACAAGATGCTCTCTCCACTCACAGATCTTCAAGGGTGCAAACGAATAAGTACAAGGAATTAGAATTAAACCCATAAAACATAAGACAGGGATGTCAAACATAAGGCCCTGGGGGCCAGAACTGGCCCATCCAGGGCTCTTATGTGACCCACGAGCAACTGGTGCAATAGAGGGAGTGCTGTAGGGAGTGGGTGGAGCCACTTTATGTGGCTTCAGCATGGTGGAACAACCTTGTCTGCAGCAGTCAAGCATTGTGGGAGCATCTGCCCAGCACTGCACTGCTGCCTCTCCAGTTCACCTGTGTGGGTTTTCCTCTGCACCTCTGTCCCAGCCCATGGGATCTTGCAGTGAGGATACACCAATTTGGAGCTTACCAGCTGTTGTCCCTTATATAGTTTCTATCTCCGGTACCTGACATTAGGTTAATGGAACTCATGGCCCGGCCTGACAAAATGACATTTATGTCAGCTGTGGCCCTTGTAACAAATGAGTTTGAAACCTCTGTACTGACACTGGACTGCAAAAACACAAATGTAGCAGCTGATAAATGCTAGAGCACCAAATTAAATATTACTAAATACAATAGGCAGCATGATATAAAACCTATCGCTTTCCCCCAAAGCCCTGCAGAACAGGGTTTTTAGCCTTTTGCAGGCCAGATGTAAAGCTAGACTAATTCTTCCACACCCTTCCCTGCACAGCTGACATTCTAAACTACATTTTTATCCTATTCTTCAAAGAGTTCTGGGTGGCAGATTTGGCATGCCCCCTTATATGAGAGCTGCCAACGGAGTCATATGGAGACTGAATACATGGAAGTGATTCATATGAAGTACGGGTGTGGGGCACAGGAACCACTTACCAATATGAACTTGCACATGGTTTGAGATTTGAGGCTGGTGTAACAGTGCTTTATTTTAATGTAGCCAAGACTGAGCACATGTGATGAGACAGGCTTTTTCTGTTGGAGTGTACAAGTTTAGAGCTCCCTCGGGGAAATCAGTGGGAACACAATCTTTTCTGAATATGTTCAGTGCAACTTCCTTAAGTGATGGTCTGTTGGAAGTATGTACTATCAAAACTTTCTGGGTCGTCCTGCTGACAGGCTTTAGTAGCTTTTTGTATGCTATCTTCAATGACATGTATAAAGTTTAAGGTTACATAGGATTGAGTCCTACCAAATGTGGAATCAAGCAGCTCACCAACAGATCTGTTTTCCCCTAGAAAACCTGGGGATCTGGGGTATATGGGCCTAAAGCAAGAACTGGCAGAAGCTGCTATCTTCCTTGCACTAGCTCTTCAGCTCACATTTTCATAAGAGGAAAGGGGTGGTTTCTTCTGCTGCCCTCTCAAGCTGCAGCTCCTGTGTAGTACCCTGCTATGTTCTGTGCTCCTCTGACCCTCAGGAGCAGCTTTTGACCACATGGTAATACCTTGTGTCAAGTCATACCAGTGTCCCATCTCAACCCGTGTTGTCTACTCTGATGGGTAGGCATTTTCCTGAGCATCTGGCTAAAAAGGAACTTCCCCATCACTTGCCACCTGAGGTTCTATGAATGGAAGTGCTTTGGATTGAATTTACTAAGCCTCAGTGGCTCAGCACTTACTAAGCCTCAGTGGCTCTGGAGGCTTACAGGGAAGTCTGTTCCACAACCTCATTCAATTTGTAGGCTCCTACTTATAGTGCTGTAACAGTCCCCTTGCTTACAAGGGAGCAGTTCACTAAGACTTGTAAACATGGTCAGTGTTTAAGAGAACAGTGTAATTCAGCTGTGTGAGAATGTGTGTGGTGAGTTCCACTTCTGGTTAATTTGTGCTGTAATTGATGTCGGTCAGGTCATCACTCCTGAAGAAATTATTCACCCTGATGTGGATGAACATTCTGTAATGACATACCTGTCACAGTTCCCTAAAGCAAAATTGAAACCAGGTGCTCCTCTGAAGCCTAAACTTAATCCAAAGAAGGCAAGAGCATATGGCAGAGGTAAGGTCTAGAATGCTCTTCTCACTTTTAGCGGTTGAGTAAATTCACACCTGTTGTGTGAAGACCAGTTGATTCTTGTTTGTTTAAATCCTGTTTGTAGACAAACTTCCAAGTTCTATTGTATTCATTTGGTATGGTGCCAAGATTCAGAAATATGTGGAAATAGTCCAAAAACCGCTTCTACTTTCATGTGAATTTCCAAACTCTCTGAGAACCAGTTCAGCAAGCCTCCTATCTAATGTTGTCCTGGACCATATTTGAGTGGTCTAATTGTCTGTGTTCCTTCCCACCCTTTAAGAGGGAGACTTCAGCCTGTTATCAGAGGGCGGAGGTCAGTTATTGACTTTGTGTAAATCTTTCTTAGAGATGGGTGGGTCTAATGCTGCCAAGAGTGGGAAAAGAAGGAACTGTAAGTTTGTAGCTATGCTAACATGTGAACACTTAATGTTAATAGCATATTTTTTCAAAGGCACAAGTGCTTCAATTACATAAACCATTTAGATTGGATGGAATTATGGAGATGGTTAAATGTTTCTCTTGAAATAAGGTCAAATTACTTCTCATTGTAGTGGATTACTTACCTTATCCCTATTTTAAAGCAGCCCCAGGAATACTTGCCAAGCATCTAGGATGGGTTTACTGTTTCATGGCTTGTGGGGTGACTGTTAGTCCTGTGGTTTATTGAACTCTAGGGTAGGATATTCTGGGTTCTTCCAGTGTCTATAGGAATGAACAATCCAGTGATTTTCTCTGAGCTTCGAGTTTATAGAAACATGGGAAGCAGTCCTCTGTAGTAGTGCAATATAAGATGGCTCACCAGAGGGATCATAAGTAGTGCATCTTGAGGTGCAGGCAAGGGAGCCCAAGATAGTTGAATGCTGAGATCATGCATATATTGTATATATGGAAATTAATCTGTTAATCCAGTCTAAAGTATTCGTGTACTATTAACTGCTTAATACAATATTTCTGCCAATAATTACCAGTGCTACTTGCATTAGGACAGTGTAAATGTCACTGGTTTAACTTCATCTGGGGCAGTGCTTGGTACTGCGTGTGTCTCGAGTGTGAACAGTAGCATTTGAAAATGAGGGAAGGGGGCATCATGTTCTAGGCTTGTGATACTAAACGTTGGAGAGATGAAGAGGTACTCCTTGGAGCATGGAACTCTGAGTTGCACAGTAAAGGTGATATGTTCAGGACTGGCAGGTGTACTTCATACAGCCTGTAAAATTATGGAACTCATTACCACAACATGTGGCAGTTCCTGGCTTGGGTCTATGTGGCATTCAGATACAATGGCTGAAAATGAGTCATTAAGAGACAGAATATTTCTGAAAGTTCTGGTGACTAATGGTAGATGGCAGTGTTCCCTCTAAGCTGAGTGAGTGTGAGCTAGCTCAGTTTTTTTAGCCTCCAGCTCACACATTTCTGTCTTAGCTCAGGAACAGTGGCTCCAGAGCAAACTAATTTATGCAGTAGCCAAATTACTTGCTCACAGCTTTAATATCAGTAGCTCACAAAGTAGAATTTTTGCTCACAAGACTCCACAGTTTAAAGGGAGCGTTGGTGGATGGTCATTGCCATCATGACTTGGGGATGGCTTTAAGCACAAGATTAGGTGAAACTGAATGCTGAGAACTTCTTAAAGTAATGACCATTTCAGTGGGAGATAGCAAACACTGACTTGTATCTAGTTACATCCAGCATTGTTCTTGTGCCACTTTATTTTTGCAGGGATTGAACCACATGGAAATATGGTGAAACAACCTGCCAACTTCACTGTGGACACAATCAGTGCTGGTCAGGGAGAAGTGATAGTCTTCGTAGAAGATCCAGAAGGAAACAGGGAAGAGGTACGCATATCTAGAAACCTTGTTTGGAATTTGCTGACCACTAGCTATGTAGGTGTGGAATGCTGTACTCTTGGAATGCTCTTGGACAAGCAGATGAAGATCTGTTAGGTGCATTTAATCGGGCCTCAGGTGTAGCATTACAGTGATGGGATCCTGATGGGAAGAATACTTGCTTTCCCAGCCATACTAGGGCTGTAAAAGTAGAGGAATTGATTAGGAGAACTGCCCATTTTTGAGGGTAGTTCACAAGGTAATATTACTGAATATGTCCTCAGAAGTCACAGAGTTGTGTGAGAACGGGTCGTGGCATAGTTCCTTCCCACAGAAGCGTTGCTTCAGAACAGTCACTACTAGAGTGGGAAGGAGCTTTCGGATGTTGCTTCCCACATGATCTCTGCTGATGAATATTTTCATAGTGGGTTGCAGAAGATAACATCCTACAATGGTTCTCAAATTGCTAAGGCAACTTCAGAGGTAGCTTAAATGGCAACTAGGTAAACTTGGCAAACAAAACTTTTGGTAAGCTCCTAGAGTTTGTCCCAGTGGAGGAGACAGGGCTTAAGGCTTGTCTCCTTGGGACAGCTGTCATAGTGGTCTCAAAGTCCATATGAAAGAAGGTGAGATGAAGTACATGCTGCTTGGCAGAGCAGGGTACAAAATAGAATGTTCTCCATAGCATTCCAGAGACTTTCATCTGTGAGGTGCTTGGCTGGAACATTGGTCTAATTGTCACTTTTTCATTAGGCGAAGGTGGCTCCTGAAAATGATAAAAACAAGACGTATGCTGTGCAGTATGTGCCAAAGGTTACAGGACCTCACAAGGTAAGAAGCTGGGAATTTCTGGAGATGGAGACTGTGCACTTGCCTGGGATACATTGATCACATTATCTTGAACTGTATTGTCCAGTATAATAGATGTATTTAGGTTTGCTGGCTTCCCCCTGCTCCATCTTTAATAGCATATTCTTGTTCCACCTCAAAACATTGACTTATCTACTGGTCCTTGATTGAGGAAATGATTTGGCGGTATAATAACCGCTTTACAGCCTCAGTATAATGTTTGTTCTTCTGAATTTCCTTCTGACTTCCGAAGGTTTGTTTTCCAACCAGTATAGTGCAAAAGAAGTCAGGAAATTAGGATTGATTTGTTTTTCCCTGTCCTGTGTGATGATAATCTAGTAATTTTAGTAGCGCTCTTAAGTTGACTGAGAGAAAGTAATTTTATCTCTTCACAAAAGATTGAGTTCTGTAGAATTAAATGTAACCTAGATGTTGAAGCAGGATGCTTCTACCAGGGAGCTTTCGAACTTCTTGCCCCAGTTTATGGAGCTGAAGCACTTTCTGGTAGCTATTATAAGACTTCTGGATGCATGGCCACTGATTTAAGATGAATCCGTACATTTCTCTTTGAGGCTATTGCAGTTATTCTGTAATAACGGATTGAGTCTAGCCAATACTGACTTGTATTCACTTAAAGAGTGCCAGGCTGTCCATGTGTTGGATCTGTTGGATGTGCAGTTCGGGTTTTTGGAAGCACCAAATAATGCGACATTTGGAATTGTTATGAATAATTTTGAATCTGAATGTCATTGTTTTGGATATTTGAAACCAATATATCTAATTCTCAAGATGGCCCAATCTGTAAATACTTAAATCCAGAGACTGGGCCATGGACAGAGAAGAAAGATCTTTCTACAAACCTGAGGAAAACCCTAGGCTTGCAGAAAAATATGAAACCTAAAAGAAGAAAGATATTCGCAAGTTAACCCCTCAGTGGTAGGAGCCATGCCTGTGTTTTAAGGAATAAATGCCCTCAGTGGTGGTTGCTGGGCTGTCAACAGTATTGACAGTCTTCAGGCCTTGGTGTTTGCCAGTAAATGGGAGGGAGAGGGGGGCAGGCCCTTTCCAGAGCTGTTTTGGCCTTTGAGGGAGAGACTCACGAGGGTCAGGCCTGGCAGGTCTCACCATGCTACATTCTGCCACATGACTTGACCAGGCCTGGCTGCTTGCTGCTATTCAACAGCAGCCACCCCATGAAAGCCAGTATGTTATAATGGTTACGAGTTTCAGAATGGAATCTGGGGGATCCAGATTCAGATCCCCACTCTGCCATAGAAGCTCACTAGCTCACCTTGGGCCATCCATGCGCTCTCAGCCTAACCTGCCCCACATTGTAGGACAGGAGAGCTAGGCCAACTGCTTTGGTTCCGTATGGGAAGAACGGTGGTGTGTATACATATGAAATAAATTTAAAAGTACAGATGAAAATGGGAGGCAAATGGCAGGTTAGGTTAGTTGGGGGGTGACAGGGAAAGCTGAGGATATGAGGGCTGCCAGAAGGAAGGAAAGAGGTAGTATGGGGAAGGGGATACAGGGGAAAGTGAGGTACCCCCCCAAAAAAAACCCCTTACAGGTTCCTCATTATGCAGCTTGACCAGCCTAGTGGTTGGCACTGCACCCCTGGGTCAGACTTTTTCCAGGGAAAGGCTGCCAGGAGGGGGAAGGAGAGAGAGCTGAAGACGGGGCAGATAAAGTTGGCTGGTTGGTGGGAAGGAGAGAGAAGGAAGCAGGAAGACTCTGGGGGCTTTCAGGGAAGGGAAAGTAGAAATAGTGGGGGAGAGATAAGATGCCCTCTGCAAGTCCTTGTGGGTCCTTTGAGAACATGTATCAGGCATAAGGATAAGGTTTGTTATATAGATAAATCCAATAAATAAATAAATATAGAGATATTTAGACAACTGTTTTTTTTCTGTGTGTGGCTTTCATTTTTGTATATGTGTATTCTGCTGTGGTAGAATCAGCTACTGCTTTTGGGGGAGAACCCTGTCAACTGTATGAAATGCATAGATCAAGATGGGTAGCCCTGTTTGTCTGTAGCAGTAGAAAAGAGCAGGAGTCCAGTAGCACCTTAAAGACTAACAAAACATGTGGCAGGGGATGAGCTTTCGTGATTCACTGCTCACTTGTTCAGATACAGCTAGAATGGGAGTCCATCTGTCATATTTTTGGGAAAGTGGAGTGACTTCAGAGGCCAAATGACATTAGCTGGCCAATGACAATAGCAGGTGAATGACAATAGCAAGCGTGATTGGATTTAGGTGAGATATGCAGAGGGGTAATAGGCTTGGCGAAATCAGCATTGGTAATGAGACAGGAAACCTAGATCTTGATTCAGTCCATTTCAGTATGAAATGTAGGCATGGTTCAGGAAGTTGGTGCATGGGAACGGCTGCAGGAACTGAAGGGCTTCCATGAGGTTCCCTTTCAGTAAGAGAATGGCACCATTCCTGTCCACAGTACAGGGTATGCCACACTTCCATCAGCTGCCACTGCCTGCTACCCCTTCCCTTCTTTCACCTGCCATTCCATGACTTGTGTTCACTCACTCGACTGATCTATGCCCAGTGCTGTTGTAGTAGTACCCACCCTCCACTTTCTGTTGCTGCAGTCTGCCTGCCAGAGCTACCCAAGGTATTTGTCCTCTCCCTTGCACCTGCTGTCCTCTGCCGCACTGTGCCATTCCCATGGCTGCTCTGGTGGCATTTGCAATGGTAGTGGTTCATGCCCAGGTTGCAGTCATTTTCTTAATGCCTGGCACTGGTGTGTGGCAATAGTGGGTGTTGCTGTGTGCATTTGTCACATCTTTTCAACTCTTTGGTGTTGGCATAGGCACTGGGAAAAGGATTAGATGGCTGAAGGAAACCTTGTAAAAAGCAGCTTGCCTTCCTGAGATTTTTGTGTGTGCAAAAGGTTGGAAATGGCTATTCTATTAACTTCAATGGAGTTCTGGATATTCAGAAATTCATAGAATCACAGAGTTGGAAGGGGCCATACAGGCCATCTAGTCCAACCCCCTGCTCAATGCAGGATCAACCTAGAGCATCCCTGACAAGTGTTTGTCCAGCTGCTGCTTAAAGACTGCCAGTGAGGGAGAACTCACCACCTCCCTATGCAGCTGATCCCACTGATTTTGGATTTCCTAAATTCCAAAGGGTCTGAATCCAAAATCCAAATCCACATTTCAGTGTTATTGTATCTGTATTGGAGACAAAATGGTTAAACTGTCAAAACATATTAAAAATTAGCTTCTTCTGTCCAGCTGCTTAATATGAATCTTATGCTCTGCTGTTGAGGTAGCCATTGCTGTGAATTCCTCCCAAGATTTGTTACTTGTTTGGAGGGGGAGGTTAGAACTGGCCCATGGTGGTGTCAGGGCAGGAGGTGCACTTGTGCATCTAGAAATAGAGGTTTGGATTGTACGCAGTGTGAGCGGAGTTGTGCCAGAGAAAGTGAACTTCCCTATTTCCAGTGCATTGTTCTTTGTCTCCCAAATTGGACTCCTGTAAATCAACAGACCTGAAAGAACATAATGGAGAGTAAGTGAGGCATCTGCAGCACTGTGGGGGGGGAGAGAAAGGGGTGTGGGGGAGAAAGGGGTGTGGTGTACCTTCCCTCCACTTCAGGCAGAAAAGCAATGCTGTTGGAGGAGCTGCTACTAGAATGGCATCTTGGGTCCAAGCCATGGAAACTAAGTCTCTGGACATATAAAATACGTACATTCACTTTGACATTCTGGGTGCTGCACTTGACATTTCAAGATCTACATTATGTCTACAGAGACTTCTGTTTCTAGAAACTTCTGTTGTTTTATATTGAGAATCTTGTGAGTGAATTCAGTTTCATGAATTCTGTTCATGGACAGCTTTCAGAGTGACCACTGGACTTGTGAAACTAGCTTTGACAATGTTACTGCATTTCTAGGTTACGGTTCTGTTTGCTGGTCAGCACATTTCGAAGAGTCCATTTGAAGTACATGTTGACAAAGCCCAGGGTGATGCTAGTAAAGTAACAGCAAAAGGGCCAGGCCTTGAACCAACAGGAAATATAGCCAACAAACCTACTTATTTCGAAATCTACACAGCAGGTAAGATAGACTAAAGTTCTGTATGGGTTTGCACTATAAACTCCAGCACAACTGTGTAGCTGAAGAATACTGGGTTCTAATTTTTTTTTTTCTTCCAAGAGCCAATGTCTCTGTAAAATTCTGTGGGAAGAAATATTTTCAGAGTACCTAGAGGAGCAATGGGATCCATGGTACTCCACAGGTTGGATCCAGCCACCCAAAGATACAAAGATCACTGTTCTTTACCTAGTTCATCTCCCCCCCTTTTCCCTAGTTCATCTCCCATCCTTCTGAATGTAGGACACTTGATGTTAGAGTCCCTGGGACTCGTGAACTAATTGCCATGTGAATCTGTGGAGGTTGCACTGAAGGAGAAGGGGACAAAGTATGCCACTTCCACCTGCAGTAGCAAAAGACCTATGGGTATCAACACAGTTACTTGCAGCAGTGGCTCTTGGTAGTCACTAGCTGCAGCTGCTTGTACATCTGTACTCTGCACTCTAGGATTATTCTCATGGCTACATCTTTCCCTTTCCTCCATACAAGTCAACATAATAAATACTGCTCTGTTGACTTTGTGTGAGAATAGATTGCCATTGTGGAAACTGAGGTGGGAGTTTACTGTTCCACATCTACTTGTGGGGTACATGCAAATGTAGTGCCCAGTCACGTTATTTATGTTCCAGATTGTTGCTCCATGTGACCCTTACTTCAGTCTCACTTGCTGCACCAAAAGCCCATAATGAAAATAGGAAGAAGCAGAGCAACTGGGGCAGGAATTAAGACTACAATTTCACTGAATCTTCAGAACAAAGTTTCTTGATCGAAAGATGATGGGGAAATGCATCATGGAAAAGCTAACTTTGAAATGTCCTTCCCGCTTAACGTGTCTCTAGTACACACACAACATAATTACCCTTGTTGGAGTTGGCTGTCTGTATATCAGGCCTTGTCTCTTAGCTGATGTTGAAATCAGCTCTTTCAGAGTTAACTTTGACTCCAGTTAGTATTTGAAATTAGAGTACCGGACTGAGTCTGTAGCAGTTGAACTTTGGAGATGAACAGACATCTGAATTTACGATCGCCTTTGTTTGCTAAATAAACATAACAAGGAATTTACCAGCCTGAGAGACTGTCTCATTATATTGTGAAACTTAAAATTGCTTCAGTCCTTCAGGACAAGAAAACTAGTAAGCACCAACATAACTTAACTTAAGGTTTTCTGTAACAGGCAGTCTTGAGGAAGGGGACCTTATTATTGAAGGACAACTCATGTTTTCATGACCTGGGTGGAATTGGGGGGTGGAATGTTTCTGGGCCTCAGCTGTTTGGACCTCATTGTAAGTCTTAGAAATTCTTTTCAGGAAAAACTAAACCAGAACTTTGCATCTAGGCAAGGTTGGTGGGATGAACCTTTTAGGAGCCAGTGCTGTCACTGAAACTGGCAGTGTTGACTTCTGCCTTCTTTCCCTTGCCTTTTATAGTGCACATTGCCTCTTAGACCTGTACACAGGCCCATAGCTACAGTGGGGCTTTCTTCAAGGCACAGCCCCACAGGAATTTGTCCTAAAAATATTTTTGAAGGCACACACTCCTGCTTCTCACACCCACTGAGCCATCTGTCCAGCCTGGCTCCCTCATCCCTCCTCCTGCAGTTTTTTTCAGTTTGGGGGGCTCTCCTCTGGACTGCTGCAGCAAAAGCGGCTTGCTTGGGGCTTCTGCTACCTTCTCTGCCTCCTTTCCTTTGGCAGCCCCCTTAAAAATTTGAAAGTCTCCCCGAAAAATAAAATCCTAGCTACGGGCTTGCCTGTACACCCATTAGAGTGAACTCTCATATCCTGCATGTATAAAGAACCAGTGTGTGTTCGCCTTGAAAAGTAGAGACAGCTGCCTGGATAAATGTGAAGTTTTAAAACTGTTTTTTCAGCCATGCAAGTGCTGAATATAATGTAAGAATTACGAAGAGAAATTGTGTACAGGCTGTACATAAACTGTAACATGTACAGGGACTTACATTGATGTTAGTGCTTTCTCTTTGTCTGCTTCTGTCCCGTATCTGGATTGGCTAGGATGAAAAATGGGCATACTGGTCCCCCACAGTTAAACTGATCTGAGCTGGCCTGACTGTGTCTTCGCTGTCTTGTAGGAGCCGGAGTTGGTGACATTGGTGTAGATGTGGAGGATCCTCAGGGGAAGAATACGGTGGAAGTTACAGTGGAGGACAAAGGCAATCAGGTCTACCGCTGTGTGTACAAGCCTTTGCAAGCTGGTCCGCATGCCGTGAGAGTGGTGTTCGCTGGAGAGCAGGTTCCAAAAAGCCCTTGGAATATTCTCATTGGTGAAGGTGCGTGGTCAGGACAGATTTGTACCTGCTTATCATATGACTGAATTAAAGACTATATGCTTCACAAAAAAGTGCAAGGGGTTTTCAAACAGCCAGTCAAGCATTAGAACTGCTCTTGCTTAAATTGCTTAAATGTAAAGTAGATACTAACTGGGCTTGGTTTGTCTGCCATCCTAAATGGCCATACTTCTCTTTTTTTGAGACTTCTAGAGGTGAACTTTTTCTTAGTCTTTTAAAATCAACTATATTCACCTTATTTTGTATCTCAACTTTCCCCCCTCCTTCTTTACTGACACTTGGCTTTCTATTCCATCCTTGCTTTGCTCCTGTGCCTTTCAGACCTCTGCTCACCTCTCCTGAGCTACTCTCAAATTTGTGGGATGTTGGACTTCACTGCTATTGGCTTCATAGTTGAGCAAGCTGTGTCGGTAAGAGGGCGTGCAGGGTGGCTTGTGTTTTTGCTGTCTTTCCTAAGCATCTAGTCTGTGGGTTTGCAGCCTGAGGCAAAAGCGGCTGGATTGTACAAAAAATGATGCAAGCAATTCGTCCAGTAGTTATATGGCTGTTGGCAAGCAGTCTCGCAAGAAGTCAAACTGCTTTAACCACAAACTGCTGAACTTGATTGTGAGGTTAGAAACTGAAGCTCAGTGTCTGTTGCACTCCCACTGCTGTTGGTGTGGTCAGACAGTCTAAGGCAACTAGTATGTAGACTGGTTTGGGGAGCAGAATGCTCTAGATGTACAGCAGAGCAGGTTTTGACTGGGTGGATCACATCCTGCTGCCAGGGCTGCAGCTGCAAACTCCAGAAAAGCAAGCGTGTAGTTAAACTGGAAGCCAATGTTCGCACTGAAACTCTTGTGGCACCAATCTCTCTAACCGTAGCATAGTAGTCAAGTACTGCAAAACAAGCTGACAGCTTTCAATTGTTCTTTCAAGCAGCCTTTCTAGCTTCCATAAAGCTTCACTCTGAACTTTCCCACAGTATCTAGCATTTGTTCCTCACCTTGCACACAGACATGTTTTCCTAATAGTAGGGATGTCCAGCAAAAGCATGTTTTAGTGTCATAATGTCGATTGTGGAGATGCTTGTGCTCTACTTCTTTGTTTCCCACTTCAAGGTATTACTCATTTTGAACCTCTTTTGCGTGAGGCTTTCTCCGGACTTGCTTGTTTAGCATGTCGGTTTTCTGTCCACATTGCCATGAGTGGACCACCCCCACTATTCTGCATGCTATATAGGTGCAATAATAGGACCAGCCTAGCAATATTATGTGGTCGCAGGCGCTGCATTGGACACCATATGCTACACTTTCCCTTGGGGACATGCTCAGAAAAAGCTGGATTTGGTGCTGAAGCATCAAAATGGAGAGCTGTACTTTGCATGCCCTAAAGCACAAGGCTCCAGGGAAATAGTGCTCTTTTTACAGACTAGAGGCTCCAGGGAAATAGTGCTCTTTTTACATTAGAGTAGTTTTGTTTCCTCTTGCTGTTGTCAAACAAACTCTTAAGATGGTAGGAACTTATCCCGAGTGTCCAAGAAAGTGTTTGCTTTCATCCATTAAATGTATAAAAAGCGAAGGATGTTTACCCACAAGCTGCAGGCCCCCAAATTGTGTATTGCATAATATTCCTTGACAGTCCTAGTCTTGCTCCTGATCACTGTAGAACTGCATTTGCATTTCATAAAGTTAAATCTCATCCATCACAAAGCAAACTGAGAAAAGCTGCCACAGACCAGCTTGGTTAGGTGAAAGCTCTTTAGGAATCAAAGACTGTATTGATGTCTGTCTGCAATTTGCTTATAGCCTGCAATCCAAATGCCTGTCGTGCCAACGGGAGAGGCCTCCAACCAAAAGGAGTTCGGATCAGAGAAACTGCAGACTTCAAGGTTGATACTAAAGCGGCAGGGAGTGGAGATATCCATGTGGCAATTAAAGGGCCGAGTAAGTGTTCAGCTTCTTAGCATTGCTTAGGCTTTGAGGCAGGCTGGTTTTTTCCCTTGACAAATCTACTTAATTACACAATATATATATCTGTGGCTGGAAGCATAAAATGGCCAACTAAGTGATAGCATCTTGTTTACTTATTTGTAGAGAAGTAACTTGAGCTGTACAGCTACTTTTAGTGGGCTTGGAAAGCTTTGTAGGTTTGAACTACAGCTTTTTTTTTTCTTTTGCCAAAGAAGCATTTATTTAACAAGGCTCTGGGCCAGAAGATGTCTGAATACCATGATAGCATTAGGCTTTCATGAGATGTTTGCTCAAAATGTAAAACAAATATGCAATGAGAAGAAATGTGAGGCTGAAGTAGATCTGACAGTTTTGTGTGTGTGTGTTAGACATGGATCCGTCTGAGATGTGGGTGGGGTATGTCAGCAAAAGGATGAAGTGTCTCCTTGCTTTCAGAAGTGGCTTCCCAGATGGCATTTATCATAAAGTTTCTTGGTTGTGCAGACATGCTACTTCTAAAGCCATGATACTTACTGGCTTGGGAGCCACATGTGGCTCTTTGGCATGTGAGCTGTGGCTCTTCTGCATACCATTCCCAAGTATGGCATCTGCCCCATGCTTCAGGCAAGCAGGCAAGGCTACTCAGTGGGGCTTGTGGCTGGAGGTAGTTTCTACCTTGAAACAGCCATCACTGGAGGGGTGGTTAAACTGCAAGTTTCTCTGAGTTGCAGACCTCACACCAAGGGTGGAAGTAAAGGGTTCGTCCTTTCCAGCAATCTCACACCTCTCCCCACAGCCTCCGCCCTCTCACCCCAGCATGGGCAGCTGCTAGGAGAGAAGGCTGGCTGCAGAGAAACACAAAACTACCACAGCGGCCACCTGGGAAAAGAGCAAGTTGGTCATGGGGGGTTAACCCCACCCCCCTTTCTCCATGGCTCTCCTCTAGATGTCTTGGCTGAGCTGTTGTGCCTCATATTGGTAAGAGGGAAGTAAGGAGCCTGCAGGCTTCTTGCAAAGAGGCTTCGCAACAGTCCTTGCTGGCTCGGATCAGGCTCCTGCAGTAGGAAGCCTGAGCACCCTTTCTCTGCATTCTTGTGTTCTCTCCAGCATGAAGCAGAGCAGGCCCTGCAGCTGGGGGCCAGATCCAAGCAAGCAGGCTTTACAGCGAAAGAAAAGGCTTTCCCCATCCTGGCTAGTAGTGCTGTGAGCTTCAGCTCTGAGCACCCTTTCTCTGCATTCTTGTGTTCTCTCCAGCATGAAGCAGAGCAGGCCCTGCAGCTGGGGGCCAGATCCAAGCAAGCAGGCTTTACAGCGAAAGAAAAGGCTTTCCCCATCCTGGCTAGTAGTGCTGTGAGCTTCAGCTTCAGCTCCTTGAAATCCCTGTACATTTGCAAGCTGCATTGCTTAGTTTCATCCCTGTTGCACACTTACCTGAGAGTAAGTATCACTGAACAAAGGGCAACTTACTTTTGCATAAGCATGAGGACTGTGTCTTCGTAGTCCCTGGGTGGTAGGGGCTTTGGAGTTTAGTGGCTTGTCAAGCCATCTGGTGCTATCCTGGTGATAAAGAAGGGAAAGGTAGGAGCTCTTTAGAAGTTAGGATATCTTCATCATTAACATGGGGCCCCAAACTAACAGTTTTATTCTTAAGACGCAGCATTGTCCAAGATTATATCAAGGTTTGGGAGGTGTAGGGGATCTGTCTATGAGGGTGCATCAGCCTATGCGGCTGAATGAGGTGGAATGGGGCATAGTACTGCTGCAAGCTAACCCATTAAAATGAAACCCCTTTCAAGTAGAAAATTTGGCATGGAGAGAAGTTCAACCCTCTCCCCCCACATGCCCAAATCTCCAGCAGTGTTGGAATTCAACTTGAAGAGAGCTTTTTTTTTAACCTGAACATTCATTTTTTTCGACATCCAGCCTAACCGAGAGTTCTGAATAATTTGAAAGCTTGCACACCGTTTTGTGCCATAAACTTGATAAGCAAGCCCTTCCCCTCACTCCAGTCACCACAGGCTGGCTAAGAGTCAACAGTGGTGGGCAGAACTACTTGGGTAATTGAAACGGTGTTACACAGTTAATAACTGTATCTACTGTATGTTTGTGTTTGGCGTGGTGCGCGGGGCGTTCAGTAGTTAGGAGGCTCTTTTGGTTGACGGTAATAGCAAATGCAGCTTTCTGCAAGCTGTGGAACACCAGTGCCCTAAAGGATATTTCTATCACACAAGTTGGCTTGCTGCTTCAAGGCTTTCTCCAAATGTTAGAAGTAGAAGGGAGGAACTGTGAGACATAACATCCAGTATTCCAGTTCATTGAGCAGACTTTTTTTTTGCTGTTGGGAGCAGTTCAGAAGTACCTGAAGGCAACATTGGTTTGATGCTGTCTAGTGCCATTGATCTATTTCAGTTTTCCAAAATGGACACTGTGGAAATGTTGCCTTCTACCAATAAAGCAAAGTTTCATACTTCCTGGTATTTACTGTTGTCCATTCCCAGCTATACTTCTCAAGCTGAATTCATGGGACCCCTTGTCTCTGCCTCAGTATGAACAAGACTGTCATGGGTGTATGCTGGAATATAAATGGGCAGGAGCTGCCAAGATTTCATTTGTCATGCCTAGGAAAACAGATGACTTCCAAACTCTTGCAATGTAATAGGGTTTGAATATAGGCACTAGATTTACTCCCCTCTTGGCCTCTCTGAGGGACACAGTCGCTTTCCGCTATCTGCAAACTCGTAGAGAATTGGAGGCTGATCTTAGTGTCCTGTACAGTCATGTTTACTGGACAGTGTTTGAGCACTTGGTATTGGTATGGCATTGTTGCCAACTGTGCACTATTAAGGACAATAGGCTTGTGTCAACAAACTTTAGTGTATTTAGACTGCATCTCTAGGAAACTAAATCAAGTAGGCATTCCCTGAATACTTGTGGTCATGAGGTCTGATGAATTGTAAGTGTTCCTTGTTTTAACATATGACATGCATAACGTTGCAGACTAAGGAATAACAGAAGGGAATGGAATAAGCGTGGTAATATAACACACTCTCTCATCAATCTCTGCTGGAAATGTTTATGCCATCTTTCTGAGGAGACAACTAGAATTTCTTTTCTCTTTCTTTGCAAACTGCTTCTGGTTGAAAAAATTTACTTCATTCTTGGGAATCTGTTTGAAAGAGTGAAAGGCCCAGTGAACTGAAATGCGAGAAATTACAGATTAATGCTAGGTTGTCTTTCTACAGAGGGTTTGGAGGAACTTGTGAAACAAAAGGAATTTGTGGATGGGGTATATGCATTTGAATACTATCCATTAACCCCGGGGAAATACATTGTCACAATCTCATGGGGAGGCCACAACATCCCAAAGAGGTGAGTTAGAACACAGTATGTAAGAGTAAATGTGTACATTCTCAAACTTCTTACGGTAGTGTAGGCTGCTGTAGTTGCTTAGAACGTCTAAGAACAGAATTAAACCTTTCCTGGTAGTATCAGTTGAGGGCATTCCT